GTTTTTGGCACGAAAAAAAACGACATAGTATAGTAAGGCGATTTTAGCCCAAAAAAACGACATAGTATAGTCAGGCGTTTTTAGCCGAATAAAACGACCATGTACAGTCAGGCGTTATCATTTTTTTAAAAATTTAAAACCCCATTAAATTTGAAAAATATGCGGCGTTTTTTTGTTGTTTTACCTAGAGTACACCCCTGCAGGCACCGGGAGAAGATGCAAACTCCACACAGGAAGGACAGGGCTGGAAACATTATTTTCTTTAAAAAATGCCTTGCAATGCATCGTCTGTTATTTTAACACCTAACTCTACAAGGTTTTTTTCCTCACGCACACCTTATGATCAATGGTCTTTTTTCCCCCCCCCCTCCCACATTCCAAAAACATGCCAATTCAGGGTGTACCCCACCTACTATCGAAGACAGCTGGGAGAGGTTCCAGCATGCCCGCGACCCTCATGAGGTGAAGCGGTTTAGAAAATGGATTGATCATATACATCGTCACTTTGACACTTAACGAAAGATGAAAAGAGTCAAGATGAGAGAAAAAGTTACTGAACTTGCACACTATGTTTGACATATTTGACGCGGTTCTGGTACTTGTTGCCATGGTAACACAATTCATCCATCCATCCATTTTCTTATCCGCTTCTCCTCACGAGGGTCATGGGGCGTGCTGGAGCCTATCCTAGCTGTCTTCGGGCAGTAGGCGGGGGACACCCTGAACCGGTTGCCAGCCAATCGCAGGGCACACAGAGACGAGCAACAATCTGCACTCACAAGAACACCAAGGGACAATTTAGAGTGTTACATAAACTTTCCATGCATGTTTTTGGAATGTGGGAGGAAACCATACCTATCCCAAGAGTGCTGGCCCCGCCCCTTTAAAATTGAACCGCCTTTCTAATCAATTGGAGAATATCAAAATTCTACTTTTTTTTTGTGAGAATAAACCACACATACTCTGGATTCTCTCTGCATTTATTTCTGTGTTCCTCTTTCAATTTTCATTTTGAAGGACAAGGCAGGAAGTTGCGTCTGCCAGTCAAAGCGATAACCAAAGATGGGCCTGATGTGAAAGAAGAGCACTCAATGTGTGAGTGCATATACTTCTTTCCCTACACACTTTTTCCATCATCAGCTTCACAAACACACAAAGCGCACACAGCATCCGCCCAAATGCACACCACAACTCGGGGGGGGCTTCAAAGCACGCAGCATCAGGCGGGAGGTGCTGTGGGGGCGGTCAGTGGCCCGTCACGCCGGCGTCATCATCATGCCGGAGAGAGAAGGTGAGTGCGAGCGGACGCTGAGCTAGTCGTCAGCGTCCGCCTTGAAAGGGGGGTCGGCCTGCTCCTCGCCGCTGTCGTCTTCGGACGCCACGGCAAACGTTTTCTTTCCTCGCCGCTGCACGTGGTCCTCGTTCCTCTTCTCCAGAGCCACAATCTGAAACACAGCAAAGTAGGATCAATCAATAGTTAAGTTCGGTCTGCCCCCATATAATTGCGGCAAAGCACTCCTTTTGTCTAAATGAATGAATAAATGTGTGTGTGTGTGTGTGTCACAGGGACTTTCTTTGGTGACGTCTCGTGGCATCCTGGTGGCGAAGAACTACGCTAACGTGGATTGAGGAGTTTCTTGCCGCGCTTTAACAACTTAGTTAACTACATGAATTGACTCACAAAAATAAATAAAATTTGGTGAAAACATTCCATTTCATTTTTATTTTTCGGCCATATTGGCCAGCTCGAGTGTGTGCGTTACCTCGGCAACAAACTCCGCCTCATTTTCCGTCCCAATGGGAATGTCGAGTCCCGACACAGCGTTGAAGAGCTCAAAGATGCTCAGCGCCTCGCTCACTCCTCGTTTCTGGAAGAACTGCGCAAACACACACAAAGTCGTCGTTCGGGTGTGGCCTACGCAGACAATTGCGTGCGTCATCCGTGGCGGCCATTTATGTTACCGTGGAAACGTTCCGGCAGTCTCGGAAGAGGAACTCCAGGCCGTGAGGATGTGTCGGCTCGACCGACTGACTGACGTCGATCAACCACACCTGCGACACGGAAACGAGAAGCAATTGGATGATTTAGAAAAGACAGAAAAAAAAAAAAGAATTGTTTTTAAAAAAGGGGAAAGGGGCAGAAAAAGTTACCTTTCCTTGATGCCACAGCATGTTGTATTCGCTGAGGTCAGCATGGACCAGATGACACTCTTGATACAGCGTCTGCATCAACTGCACACACACGTCAACGTTAAACAGTGTGTGTGTTTTTTTCTCTCTCTCTCAAAACGTTTTTGTGTGTGCGTACATACGTTTAAGACTTGGCAGAAGGCGTTCTTCATGTCGTCGGAGCTCAACACGACGTCCTTGAGTTTGGGCGCGGGGACGTGATCTTGTCCAATGAACGACATCACCAAGATGTGTTTCCTCAACAACACCACGTCGGGACACGGAATCGACGCCTTCTTCATCCTGTTGCGACCGACATGCGTTGATATGAGAGCCATTTTACAAACTATTTGTCCCTTTTTTTTTTTTAAAAGTAGCTTCTGTGGTTTCGTGGACGTCCCCAGTGATGCTCGCTGCTTAACTAACAACATGGCTGTCAAGGGGGAGGAGCTACGTTAAAAGAAGCAGTCATTGTTGACATCGTTGCGATGACGTTGCTACACTAGCTAGCTTTTACAACCTGTCGAGTGACTTTAAAAAAAATAAAATAAAAAAAATAAAGGCAATGTGAAAAAACACATTCGCTTTTTTTTCTGGAACTAAACAAACAATGTGTCAGACATTTTTTCATGGAAAATTGTGAAACGTGCCATCTAAGTTTAATTTCTTATTTTTAAGGCAACCTATTTTTCCGGCGGTAACGCCACATGACCGACTCTTTCTTTCTATCTCAATTTGTCTGAGTGATTTGAGTCAAAAGAAATCAGAAATGCTAATCTAAACTTCTAAAATTCAGCCTCAAAATGGAGAATCGCACATCCGAGCGCATGCGCGAGATCGAAAAGATGCCGGACGTGATCTGACGCGTTTGGTCGGAAATCGCGAGAGACCTGCTGAGGTTGTGCATCTCCTTCTCGGCCCACAGGCGAATGATCTTGCGAGGGTTGAGCTTGGTGAAGCGGTCGATGAAGCGATAGTCGTCTTTGATGTAGCGGTCCCTGTTCTTGAACTCGTTCAGGGTGGTCTTGAACACCTTGAGGACCACCTCGTCTGGAACTGGCTGCTCATCCAAACTACACACACACAAATGTTAAAGAGATCCAGAGTGCGTGTGTGCGTGTGAAGGTGTCGAACCTTCCCCCATTGGCGTGGAAGACGACAGACTCCTTCCCGGTGCTGATGCAGCCGTTGATGCTCTCCAGCACGCCTGCGTTGACCATCTTGTACATGAGCAGACGAGTGCGGGGGTCCACCGCTTGCTCCTGCGGGGAACGCGAGGAGCAATTCAGACGCCCGCCATTCGGTCAAAGCGCATTCTCCAGTTTCCCGGGAGGGGGGAACTCACGGCCGTGGAGTGCTCTTTCTTCTCGTGGAGTTTGGCGCTTCGGCGCTGCTCGCTGGCGCAGTGCTGCTTCAGAGAGTTGAACACCTGATTGGACAATTTCAGGTCCATGCCCAGACCGTCGCCCACTTGCACCTCGGGAGCAAACTAGACACACGCACACACAAAACATTGCGTTCGTGTTGATTTTTGGCACGGCGACTCCATTTTGTTTGATCAGTGGGTTGAATGTCAACGGCGAGCGCAGCAGAGGAAACGCGTCAGTCATACGTTGTCCATGCGTGCTGTGTTCTTCCTGCCACATGTCACCGCGTCGTGTTTGGTTGTGATGTTTTTGCCTTTGCCAACGAAACCTCTTCTGGGTGTGGTCTGAGGCTTGGCTGGCAAAAAAAAAAAACAAACAAACACATAACGTGATTGTACTGGACACGCCCGAGGTATTTATAGTGCTGCAGTGGCGTTACCTGCCCTGTAGGGGTCGTGCCTGGTGTCCTGCCAGTCCACCTCGTCCTCAGAGCTGTCGCTGTCCTCATAGGGATGAACCTTGCGGTAGTTCTCAAAGGAGATGGACACTACACAAAAAAATACACAGACTCGATGTGGCACTGTTTCAAACATTTTTTGGACCACTTTTTCCATTTAGTGTTGTTGAGGCTAAATGTGCATTCGGACCTGTAAGCCGCAATATGAATTTCGTAGACTGGCACTAATAAAGTTGTCTGAATCCATTTGTTCCGTTTGCTACCTTTACTGTCGCCGTTGAACTTCTTCTCCTCGCGACGCAGTTGATCATCAAACTCTCGGTCGTACTGCATCTGAAGCATCTGAGCCAGCATCAAGTCGCTGGTTGTGTCCGCGGCGTCGTCGCCCAGCAACAAAACCGACGGGCTGAACAAATACATCGTTGATGTTATCTTGATAGGAATGAGGCAATCGAAACTTCAAAAATCATCGGCAAAGTGCGAAAACAAGTCATTGCTAATGTGCGGCTTCTTCTGCCGCGTCCGCATTGGCCACCTGGGCGGAGTATAAGCCAGAGTGACGGATATAATGTTCAGTGAGACAGCTCAACTTTTCTCCAAGCTCATCTGTGCAGCACTATTTGGCATTCTACACAGAGGATAAAGAATATACCGGGTACTGTTGTATTGTCTGTCTACTTGCATTGCTACAATGTTTGCATTGAATTTATCCCAAAATATAGCACTGAAACATACACGCTATTTAGCGTTAGCGTTAAGATAGCGAACTGAAAGTTATTAAATAACGTAGCATGTCTGTCGAAGTGTTAGGTGTATCGTGTGTAGGACTTCTACAAAACGACGCGGATGTCAACTCACTCAGCGAGGCTGCTAAAGTTGTGATTTTCTTCTTCCAGCTGTCTGGCTAGCTGCTCGCTCATCACATCCGCCAGCGAGCACGTCGACATGGCTGGCGGCACTGTTGCCGTAGTGCCCCACGGGCTCTGGAGGAAATACAGAATCACATTAATTTGGAAAAAAATTCATAGTTGCAAGGACACGTGCAGACTTTCAGGTTCATTCATCCATCCATTTTATGAAGCATCTTTCGTGTATGTCACAGTACATAGAGACATATAGACATGAAGCTAATGTGGATGTTTTTGGAATGAGGAAAATGTATAGCGAAACTTGGCACAGGAAGGCCGCAGCACACACGTTTTTCGGCTTGACGATTTGATTTATTGGACACAATAACTCGGCTAAGGTGACTCATCATCATCTTGCTCAGCTGTCAGGGAACAAGTTGTCGAGGCTAAGCTACGCCCTTGTGTTACGTAGGCTATCGTAACCCAGATTCACCAACAAAATGTCAAAGGTCGACCAAAAGATTTTTCCACTTTAGGCTAACTGTTCTCGTCTACCTAAATATAATCTTTATTAGAACATCGTTCGTCGATGTCGTAACAAGCGTGAAAACAAACGAAGGTGACGTCATGGACGTAAGCCATATTGGCGAGTTTGTCAATTGTTTGTTCACATAAAGTTTTCTTTTAAGGAATAACAGGTTACGCGATAAAACACCCAGAAAAACACAAATGTAAGAATAAAAATATAAATTCGAAAGTAATACGGGCTTACCTTTGGCTTGTGAGCGGTGACTCCACTTTGATCCATGATTTAATGACTGAAAGGTGGCTAACTGCGAAGCTAAGTAGGCCGAGGAAAAGTGAAACTAACGAGACGACAAACGAACTGAGCAGGATAAGAAAAGAAAACTTAAGTCTTGTAACACACTCGGGGACGCTTAAAAGACGTTTTGAACGAGGCTGTGGTGACTGAATGAGGCGTAATTGCTCACGTGAGTTGAACGTATTTCTTCGCAGGAAAAGGACCTTGGACAAACCGGAAGTGCGTCACCGACCATTTCCACCAACTTCCACATTAAAATGAATATGGATGACGTCAACAAACCCGAGCTCAACCACTATTCACAAAATAATAACAACAATAATAATAATAATCAAGACAGTGCACCATCGTGTGAGTATTGTCAATGTCACATATGATACATACCTGTGCAGCTGTGAATGAGCGCCCATTGACAGGATACTTTCAAAAGAATGAATGCATTTGTAAGGCCAAAAAAGGAGAAAAAAATAGATGAATGGATAGATTAATATAGATAGATAAATTGACAATAATATTATCTTACATTCTTCTCCGACGACTACCTTTATTGTGAAAGAGTTTGCCGGAAGTATTATGTAGTGAAAGAATAGGACGCCAAACTAGAGCATCCTGATCCTGACGTCTTCTACGCACATTTTTTCCCCTCATCGAGCGTTTAAATGTCATCGGGGAGACTACAAAATACGACGTTTAATCGGTGCTCTTAAAATTTTTGTCCCTTTGGATTTTATACCACATTCCTTCTCGTTGTCGTCTGTGATGGCCGACAGCGTCCTCAGCATCAGGACCAGTTCAGGAGGGCCGGAGCCGCTCGGACCTACGACAATCGAACAACACACCTAACTCCATCAGTAATATTTAGCATATTTAAATATTTTCATTTTAGCATATTTACAAGACATCGTTTATACTTAATTCACATCTCCAGGACAACTACGGACACTGATTTGATTACATATGATGTGTATATAAATATTTCATCCATCAATTTTCTACGCAAATTGGTTGACAATTCCTGTTGATAATCTGAAATTCAAGTTCTTGGAGAATTTGAAATAAAAATCGGTATCTTAATGATTCATCAATTTTCCAAAAGCATCATAGTCCACTTAGCTTAATGCTAACAAAGGCTTCAAAACACCATTTACATGCTAGCAGTTAGACGTTTCTTGAATCATGTGTTGGACCTCAGCAGTACCTTTGATCAACATATAGAATATTATCATTTATACATAATGTAAAATGTACAAATCTACAATAACATGTATGTATTTTATCTATGACTATAGATATGCTTGTCTGTACCAGCAGACCACGTTGCCTTGACTGACCTTTGAACTTCCCGCAACAACCCGCCAGCCCATGATGTTAAAATGGTCGCCGCCATGACAGCGCGCCACGGGAGGGGTGCGCCGTGAGCAGCAACAGAGCCAGTCTAGATGACATCTTCCGACGCAAGCAGGATGTCCCAGCTCCTGGCGGGCCTCGGCGCCGACGCCACCGAGAAGGCTCGGCTCGAGCTCAACGAAAACCCAAACACGCTACACCAGGACATACAACAGGTTCTGGGGACCCCGTCATTTTTTTAGGTCTATTGTGCTCAGACATTTGACATTTACGTCTTTTCGCTGCGGCAAGGTGCGTGACATGATCGTGACTCGTCCAGACATTGGCTTCCTGCGTACAGACGACGACTTCATCCTTCGCTTCCTCCGAGCGCGCAAGTTTGATCCGGTGGAAACGTTCCGCCTGCTGGCGCAGTACTTCCAGTTCCGACAGCAGAACCTCGACATGTTCCAGAGCTTCAAGGTCGGCACACATACACTGTTTTCAAAACGGGATGCCATTTTGTCTCCAAATAGCAAGAAAGTCATGAACAGGAAGTGGTGTGGTGTGTGTGTGTGTGTTAGGTGGATGACCCCGGCATTAAGCGAGCATTGATGGACGGCTTCCCGGGCGTTCTGGAGAGTCCGGACCAACACGGCCGGAAGATCCTCATCCTTTTTGCCTCCAACTGGGACCAGAGCAGGTCAATGCGTCGTCATGGTTGACACGTTTTATGAAACCTAAAATGAAGAATGTATGATTAGTTTCTGATTTCACTTGGATGATTGACAGACACATTGGAACATTTGTTGTCATTAATGACAATTTATCATTCCAAATGAGACAAAGTTGCTCTGCTAGTGGGCTTAAGTGTCTTGAGATGACATAGTACACCGACCTTGAGCTGGATTTGAAGGACATGGACTAAATGCCGGTCCGGGCTTTCCATTTGTCCAGGAACTCGTTCACAGACATCTTGCGGGCCATTCTGCTGTCGCTGGAGGTTCTGATCGAGAAGCCCGAGCTGCAGATCAACGGCTTCGTCCTCATCATTGACTGGAGCAACTTCTCCTTCAAGCAGGCCTCGAAGCTAACGCCCAACATCCTCAAGCTAGCCATCGAAGGCCTGCAGGTGAGATGCCCGAACAGTCTCTGTGACCCAAACAGCCGCTCGAACCGACCACCTTGACCAGATTATTGTGTTTAGTTGTGGCAGTTTGTTCATAAAAAGATGGTGTAATTACTACGAATTTTAACGAGTTTACTTTGGCACCATCTTGTGGGATCATGGTACCAAGCGGCTTTGTTGACGTGAGTTGAGGAACTTCATTTAAAACATAGCCACCAGTCTTTAGCCGCCAGCTTGCACTAATTTGGTGTCAGGTAACTATGTTGAAGTGAATTGAGGAGCTTCAATTTGAAAAAAGTAGCATTTATCCGCCAACCGGTGGAACCTTGTTGCTAAGGAACTCTGTCGAAGTGGTTTATTAGTAATCCATGCAACTTTCACCGTTTGAGTCACTTGAAATTGCTTTAAGTTACGGCACACACTTTAAGAGTAGCTAACATTGTTGCTTGGTGCTTCAATTTTTTTTTCTCCTCAGGACAGTTTCCCGGCCCGCTTCGGAGGCATCCATTTTGTCAACCAGCCGTGGTACATTCACGCCATGTTCACCATCATCAAGCCTTTCCTCAAAGAAAAGACCAGGAAACGGGTGAATTCAAAAGCAACTTCTCTCCCTTTTTCTCATTCACTTTGTCTTGTCCTGATAGAATAGGATTTACAGTAGACCTATTATAAATATTATAAAAAATAAAAAAAACCAACACATTGGCTGCAAACTGTCTATCCAGCTAGCTTGCTAGCTATGTAGCTACAGTAGTTAGCGAAGAAGATAGCTGTCTATCTGTCTATTCCACGGAGCAGATTTTTCTCCACGGCAACAACTTGAACTCGCTCCATCAGCTCATCCAACCCGAGTGTCTGCCGTCCGAGTTCGGGGGTACGCTTCCGCCGTACGACATGGGCATGTGGGCTCGCACCCTGCTGGGTCCTGATTACATGGACGAGACCGAGTACACGCTCACCTACGACGCCCTGCACGTCCGAGAGAACTGCGGGGGAGGCGCGGACAAGGAGCTCATGAAGAGGTCAGGACGCTTGAAGCAGTAAAAAGCACTATTGAACTATGTTGACGTGAGTTGAGGAGTTTCATTGAGATCAGAGGTGTTCAAACTCGGTCCTCAAAGGCCGCTGAAAACAGGCAGAATGGCAGCCTTTGAGGATCGGAAGTAGTGTTTCGCCGCCATCTTGCGGCATCCTGGTGTTAACGAACTCCGTTGATGTAAATTGAAGAGCTTGCTCTAGACAAAAGTAGCGCTTTGGTGCCACCTTGTGGCATCTATAGTGATGATTCCAATGTGATGTTTTTTTGTGCTTCAGGTCTCAGTCTGTGGTCAATCCTGCCATGCTGCGACAGACGGACAGAGAGACCAGCACGCCGCTACTGGCCCTGGACTGAACACACACACTCACACACACCCACACACACACACAGTGCTGGATTTTGACTTGTGTTGTTTCGTCCCGTCCAGCTGAACTTTGACTCGTACTTCCTGTTTCTGAGCCCAAATGTGTGTGTATGCTGCACGCACACACACACACACACACACACACACACACACACACACACACACACACACACACACACACACACGCACACACGCTCTTACCTGTGATTGTGTGTCCCCACGCTGGTTAAGCGTGTTAGCTTTGAGGAGGAATGTAGAAAAGGTGGTCATGACTTTTAATGGTGACAGTGAATGTTTGCTCACCATCATCATCACCATCTTCATCATCTGTGACAATGACGCCCTGACATTCATTCACTCAATCAGTGTGATTGTAGATGACAGTTTCTGAACTTTTTACTGAGCCAAGGTACACATTCGATTTAACCTTAGAAAAATATCAATGCTCGCCACCAAATTCAAAAGCAGAATGTTTATCGGTTATCAGGGAATATTCGGTTAATCGTTTCAGCCCCTCTGGTCATCTCTCGAGTCCACTATGTAAAAATCTAGGTCCAAGATTTACGCACGTGACAAACCATTAGCACTCTTGCTAGCGTAGCTGGCTCAACGGCATACTAACCTATTAGCCAGGTTCACAGGAAGATTGAAAGAAAGGAAAAAGCAGCTTGTCGTTCAATCAAGTGTCACGTGGTCACACCCGATTGTCGTCGTTGTCGATGCATCTCGCTATCACAATCGTTGCTCGGTTTACCCGCCACATATGAATGAAGACACTTTTTGCCATGTATCAGCTTTCCAATCAAGGAAAATATCACTCGGGTAGAAAAGCAAAGCGGTCCGTGCATGTCAATTAGGGAAGTCCCCCCCCCCCCTCCGAGTGCCACGTTTTCATGCTTTTTAAGTATTAACGCCGTCAACACACCGAATGCCAAAACATCACTGAAGAGAAAGATTGTTTTTATTCAATTGAACTCGTTTCAACGATTGTATAGTTCATGTACTGGTGCGCTGCAAAACAAGGTGGAAAGACTTTGCGTCCGACATTGAAATCGTTGCAGGTGTTCGGATGGAAAAAAGTTGGTCCTTTGTTTGTTGCGGCGCCACTCAACATCAGGGCTACACTGTCTCTTTTCATGTATTTACTGCAGAATGTAAACTAGTAAACATTTACACCTCCACGTGTGGTGTTTTCATTCGGGGATGGGGGGTGGAGGGTGGGGGGTTAAATTGACAACAGGAGAACCTAGAAAGTCACACACGTGGACATTTGATTGTTGGAGGAGACAGATGTGGAATTTATCTATCTTGAAGCTAAACTGTATTTTTTTTCCCCCCCTTTATTATTTACAATAAATTAATAAATAAACCAATTATTTTCATATCGTAAAACATGTGGATGTGAATTTAAAAACAAAATGCTATTTACAATAAACAACAGTAATTGAATAAATACATGTTAACTATATATTTGCAAAAATTATTTATTTTAATTATTTGTAGTATTTTGTTTGGTTTAATATTTAAATGAAGTAATTATTTATGGGGGTAAATTAATTGTCAATATTTTAATTTGCCGATTTCAGAAAAATGGCACTGCCCACACCTGGACTAACTGGGAAAAAAATAAATAAATAAATAAATAAATAAAAAACCTGAACAAAAAAACAACCCCCCCCCCAAAAAAAACCCACTGTGATTCTCTTGTGTCATTTTTAATAAAAATAGAATCTCTTAGAACATCTGCTGGTTGTAGTGATTGTACAAAAGTGAAGGGAAAAAGCGAGCTAGTCGGAAAACACAGGATGAACAAGTCACAGCCAAGTCGTGGTTTCCCACAAATAAAACTCTACAAACATTGAACATGAACAGTCAGTCATAGTGTGTGTGGTTGTGTGCACGTTTGTGCCTGTGTGTGTGTGTGTCAGTAGTACCACCCAGAAGAACCTTGAGTGGTGCGCAGTCCTTCCGGAGCTCGCTGGTCTAGATGGCGCTGAGCGTCTGTCTCTGGTACGCCGTCAGCTGCGGGTGCCACACGTCCACGATGAAGATGAGGCGGAAGGTGTCCGCGTCCTGCCAGACTTCGTGCTCGAACGAGTCGTCGAAGATCAACACTTTGCCCTCCTCCCACTCTCTGAATCGAAATAGTGTGTATTGGAATACAGTTTCATCGATTGCATGCGTTTGATAAAAAATAAAATAAATAAATAAATACAAGGAGGAGGACCTAAAAAAAAAAAAAAATGGAACGCAATATCGAGGCAAAAAAACTGCAGTAAGGTTCTTTTTCAAAAAAATTTACCTGGTCTGGTCTGTGCATCGGATCCTGCATCCCTGTTTGGGAATGACGAGGCCGAGGTGCATCCTCAGTCGACAGTTGGTGGGACCCGTGTGTGGCCACACGTGCGTGCCCGGTTGCATCACTGAGAACTTAATCTACACGTACGCACGCACGCACGAGTGAGTGACTGGAATTGAGGCTACATTCAAATCTTTCGTGAGTCTACCTGTCCTCTCTTGCAGCCGATGGCTTCAGGAAATCTCTCCAGTAGCGAGCAGGTCTTCGGTACAGCCTGACAAGAAGTCCCAGACTTCTTCCCTGAAGGTAAACAAGATTGTTAGCTGTGTGGATGTGGATCAGGCAAGAGGAAGAAGTTCAAAAAAATGGACCTTGCTGCCAGAGTGTGTATTGGCCCCACTCTCCTTTCTCCCTCAGGTTCTCCTCCTCGGGTACAAACTGGCCCGTCTTTTGGTCCATCATGACCATAGCCTCGTCCCGGATCATTTTCCAGTTCTTCTCCAGTGCCTGAACACAAATGCAGTCATTGAGTCCTGAACTGGAAGAACATGCTTGTGAATCCTGCAAGCTGTCCAACCTTGACCAGATCGGTGTATCCAGTCTCATTTGGAGTCCACCAGGGCTGCGCCTTGAGTCCGTCGACGTTGTAGAGTGACCTCTGCCACACGGACGCAAAGTGCCCTCGCTCGTGGCCCAGCTGGTACCAGTGGTACGCCTGTCCCAGGACACACACACACACACACACACACACACACACACACACACACACACACACACTGCAACTCACGCA